TATGAATATTAATAGTGTTTGCGGTTCAACAAAATTTGGGTGACATGAAAATGTTCTGTAATTGAATTCTTGATTATAAAAAGATGACAACTTTTTTTGTGTGTGTAAGTTGAATTGAATCACATGCATATAAAGTCTGTGTGTGTTTTCTTGACATATCTTTTTATTATTTCATTGCAGGGTGCATCACAGATTTCGTTGTGCGTAAGTTTCAAAATTTTCCTGTTAGTTGTGTTCAATTATCATTCTACCATTTCACAAATATGGATGTAATGGGGGACTATAGTAAAGGAAAAATTAAAGGTCCTATTAGTATAACATCAGCTTTAACTTCAGCATTTCTTGAATGGTTGCTCATGATTTTTCTGTTTATTGACGGTGGTTTCGCCTACTTAGTCACGAAATTTGCCCAGTATTGCCAATTGCAAGTTCCATGTTTGCTTTGCTCGAGGCTGGATCATGTTCTTGGCAAGGAAAGAGCTGGATTTTACTGGGAATTAATCTGCCCCAATCATAAGTATAGGATATCTTCATTAGTTCTTTGTCATAATCACAATAACCTTGTTGATGTTCATGGGATGTGTGAGAGTTGCCTTTTCTCGTTTGCCACAGTAAATAAGTCGAATGCTGAAACCTACCGATTGCTGGTTGGAAAACTGGGGGCAGAGCCTCACCTAACTGATGAGGATCCTTTACTCGAGGAGAAAACAAAGAGTTCGTCAGGAGTAAGAAAATGTTATTGTTGTAAAGAGGAATTTGTTACCGGAGGATATGCTAAAAAATTGTTCAAGATTACATCTTTGTGTGCTGACACAGTTGAACTCGATGCACCTTTGTCTGTGACTAATGGACAAGAGAGGGGTGACAGCAAGGAGATTGAAAATGAGGCATCGACATCAGTCTTTGTTCCTTCACCTCATTTGGAGTACAAAAAGGTAAAGGTTATCTCTGATTCTGAATCAGAGGCTGCACACTCGGATAGTGATAGTGCTAGTCCTCTAATCCGTGCAAGGGACTATTCCTTAGACTATTTATCTGATAGATGCTTGCATCCAGAACCTCAAATTTTTACCGTCACTGATGACTTTGCTACCGAGAAACTAATACATTCGGCTTCAGTGCCTGAACCATCACTTCTGGATCCAGAAATAGACTTAATGACTAGAGATTTTTCGGCTATTGCAACCTCGGCTGCAGTTGTTGGGCTTGGATCAGAGGAAGTTAGCTGGCAGCAACCTGAACGGAAGACTGATGCATCTGTCCCATCTGATCTCATAAGTTTTGATGAAGTCAACCCGTTGTCCAATGTCAAGGAAAATCTTGTTGATCTAGCAAGAGAGACCTGTAAGTTCCGTTTCCTTATTGTTTCATTTCTCTTTTTTGTTAACCATTTAAGTGAGTGCTCCATATCTCTTTGTTTCCCCCAGATCAAAATGCCTTACAAGTGAATGTTTTTTTGAATTTTTGCTGTCCTTAACTGCCACATGTTCTACTTTCAACTTCCAAATAGGAAGAAGATAGAGAAAAAGTAATTACAAATGGATTTACATTTTTCTGTTTTTGATCTTCAAACTACTACTTTCTGTTAATTGTTTTCTGACTCGGAAGCTATAACAGCAGCTCAATCAATTCAATTTCTTCCAATGTGTTGATTTTCATGTAACACTAAAAGAGCTGTTGAATAGCTTTAAGTACATTTGAAGATGGTCTATCAAGTGTATCTTTCACCTTTTATAATAATTTACCCCACTGTCTTCCGTATTTATTGATATTGCTATGCTTTCTACAGCAGCAGGTGAGACGGTCTACCAAGTTGTCGAAGATTGTGGGGAAGTCTCCAGGTCAAAAAGTGATGAGATCCCAAAGAGCGAGACAGAATTGGATTCTAAACCAGAGCCAAATGAGAGTAGTTCACAGACAGATGATGCTTTTGATCTAGGTGATGCTTATAAGCTGGCTGTTGGAAACAAAGGGAGGCAATTATCCGGGAAGTTTTTGGAGCAGAGGTCATTCAAGGATTCTACACGAATGAGTGAAGATCTAAAGGTTCTACTTACACAACTGTCTGCTGCTCGTGGTACTGATTCTATATTGAGTGAGATGAGCCCGAGGGTGTCTGTAAATGGTGAGGAATTTAGAACTCTTGAAGCATCTAGCTCTATTGGAATGCAGATACTTCATCAAAGGATCTCGCTCGAGAGAAATGAATCTGGTTTATCTCTGGAGGGAAGCACAGTGAGTGAAATTGAAGGTGAGAGTGTGTCTGATCGTTTGAAACGACAGGTGGAGTATGATAGAAAATTAATGGCTGCTCTCTATAGAGAGTTGGAGGAAGAGAGAAATGCATCCTCAGTTGCTGCAAATCAGGCGATGGCAATGATTACAAGATTGCAAGAGGAGAAGGCAGCACTACACATGGAAGCTTTGCAGTGCCTAAGAATGATGGAAGAACAAGCTGAATATGACAACGAAGCACTGCAGAATTCAAATGATCTTCTTGCGCAGAAGGAGAAAGAGATCCAAGATTTTGAAACTAAACTTGAACTTTACAAGAAGAAACTTGGGAATATGGCTCTCTTTGAGGATGCACTCGAGGCAAGTTATGATTCAAATAAAGCTAAGCAAGCTGATACAATGTGCAGTGATGACAGTTCGACTGTTCCTGGCGACGTAATTGCTCATAATCCCACCAGCAGCAGTAGAAGTGGTGAGGTCTTGACACCATTGGGAGTGGATAACATAGATAACGGGAGCCCCTTGCTTGATTTGGAAAGTGAAAGGGAGCAACTTGTGCTTTGTTTGAACAAATTGGAAGAAAGGCTCCTTTTGCTCTCTAAGCATGAGGCTAGTCAAGAGTTAGCTAATGTTAACTGCGAGTTTTCAACAGAAGAATGGGTTGAAGTAAGTAATCCGAAAGAATTGGACCATAGGGAGTCTTCTAGAAGTAATGGTGAAATAGAGGAAAATGTTCCCCTAGAGTCAATCACAGACAGAAGCCCTTCTGGTGAAGAAGGATCTATTAGCAAGTTTCCAGAATCACTACAGAAAGGAAGGGATGGGAGCAAATCTGGGCAGTGCACTAATGGAGATTCTGAGTTAGAGAGTCTGAAAAATGAGTTATCAGTTTTGAGCAGCAGACTGGAAGCACTTGGTATAGAACATAGCTTTCTTGATCATTCTATCAACTCATTGAGGAATGGAGACGAGGGACATCAATTGATTGAAGAGCTAGCTGGTCACTTGCGACAGTTGCATTTTGTTTTGGATAGATCAAGCGGTGAACTTGCGCATTAATAAAGGTGATCATCTTATGAATCAAGCTATTTTAATAACCTTGAACTTTGCTGTTTTCAGCTTTTGAAAATCAATGGATTTTAGGTCCACCCATTTTACCATTCTCCACTTGACTGTCATACTTGTTTCGCTTTCAAACACTTTGATTCAGTACTTCTTCAACCTGCTCTCTGTTGATATGAGTCCTGCCTCCCGAGCTATTGCCTCTTGTTTTCACATTCTTTGTTACCTATGTTTCATATAAGAACTACTAAATTCTGTCGATGGTGCAGCAACAAAATATTTTGTTCTGTTTCATCGTAGGAACTTTGTGATTAGAAACTGGTGTTTTCATTTTCTGTTGGCCTTAATTCACATTCAAGATCCATGACATGTATATTTCACTTGTTATCTTATACTGTATCTTGGTCATTTTCTGCTGGTAGTACTAGCATGAATTATTGGAGATATAGCTATTCATCAGTTTTCTATGAACCTCTTATCTTCAACCAGTGATTTTGCATGTCGATATTGATAAAGTCTCTGACTTGGGAAATGCAATCAGAAATAGAAGTTCGAAACGAAACTATCATCTGTTTGGACTCGTTCACTCCCAAATCCACTTTGTATATCAGTTGAATTTCCTGTTAGTTTTGTTCACCATTTCCGCGTTTATGCTTTTATTTTTGTTAAATTTCTCCTGCTTTAGGTGATGTAAAATATTTTTATTTGACGAATTTCATTTTGATTTCCTTGCAGATTAAATTAAAGATGATTCTTTCTCCTAGAGCATGAAGTGTACAGTTTTTGGGTGAACTCAAGCATGGTTTCTCCCATTAGTAGAAGTCTACAAACAACATTTTAGCTTTGTGTGATATGGTTTTTTTCAGTGATTTTTTTTTGCTTATTCGTCCTTTTTGATTCATTATTACATTTGTTTCGAGTAAAGATTGTTTGTAAAGTTGAAACTCAATATCCCTATAATTTGATGTAAAGTTTTGCTGGAGTGGCTTGAATCATGATATTAATTTGGTGGATTAATGAATTTGTTGTGATAAAATTAGCTTTGGTTATTTTTTATTTATAGCATGTTTGACCAAGCTTTTGAGAGATCCAAGTTGCGTATTTTAAACAAGTTTTTGAGAAAAAATAAGTGTTTTGGGGGAGTAGTAGAAACTGTTTTCCAGAAGCTCAAAACAATAGTTTTTCCCAAAAAACAATTTTTAGAAAGAAAAAAAAATACACTCAGAAGATTTTCAAAAAGATTGGCCAAACACAGCTATTGCTCGGAATCTTTAAAAATGTCGAGGGGTTTCTGGTCTAATCCTCCAAAAGTATTTTAGTTTTGGAAGATTCAACACAGGTGCCGAAGCATCTTCGGAGAGTTTGAACAGAAAAGAGAAAAACTGCATAATGGAGAAAATAAAGTATCCAAACAGAATGACAGAAAGCAATGTGTAAAGACACCAAGAAACATACTAAAAACTAAACAGCAATCATATTATATATGTGCTGTATCTTTGGGAGATACAAGTTTGAAAAAGGGAACTGCAAAATGTGACAAACTCTATAAGTTATATGGAGGCAAAAGAAAAAATTCCTAAAAGTCACAACTCACAAACAACACTCCTTGGTGAGGGATGCTTTTGCTGTCACTCTATATTTAGCCTCTCTAACTTTTAACATAATAGTAGTAGTAATAATAATAACAAATATAATAAGAAATAATAGCAGAATAATATGATATGTAGCATCCTCATATCTAGACTGAGATACAGTAAGAATGAGATTTGGCACAATAACAAGTAGCATCCTCTCTACTTCTTGTTTTGCTCCTTAGTGTCTGAAGTAATAGTAGTCTTGTTGGTTGCTGCACCATCTTGTGCTACTGCACGATCACTATTAGTATTGTTTGGTGTCATCAGCTTGTCGAACTTCTCGCTCTTCGTCAACACTATCTCAATCTGCAAATTCACAAAATTTCTCGTTAGTGCACTAAGCTACCACTATGTGTAGAGTTAGGAAAGGGGAGAACCACGTATTGTTCAAAGATGTTGTCGCTTCTATGTCCAATTCTCCAAACATTATGCATTTTGGAGGATCAAACACAGGTGCAACGACATTTTTAGAAGAAGGCTCAGACACATTGCATCTAGCATAGCCAAGGGCGGAGCCAGGTAGGGCTGAGGGGGTTCGTCCTAACCCCCTTAGAAGGAAATTTACATTGTGTACACACGATCAAAATTAATTTTTATGTATATGTTGAACCCCCTTTGGTTCATTTGTGTGTTTACTTCATATTTTGAATGTCTCTGCCACTAAGCATAGCCTATGTTGCTCGAATCCTTCAAAGATGTTGTCGATTTTGTGTCAAATTCTCCAAATATTATGCTAGAATCTGATACATGTGCAACAACATTTGAATCCTTTAAAAATGATGTCTCTTCCATGTCAAATTCTCCAAATATTATGCATTTTTGGAGGATCTGATACATGTGCAACAACATTTTTGGAAGAAGGGTCGGCCACATTGCACCTAGCATAGCCGATGTTGTTTGAATCCTTAGAAAATGATAATCACTTCTGTGTTCAAATTCCCCAAATGTTATGCATTTTTGGAGGATCTGATACATGTGCAACAACATTTTTGGAAGAAGGGTCGGCCACATTGCACCTAGCATAGCCGATGTTGTTTGAATCCTTAGAAAATGATATCACTTCTGTGTCAAATTCCCCAAATGTTATGCATTTTTGGAGGATCTGATACATGTGCAACAACATTTTTGGAAGAAGAGTCGGCATCATTGCATCTAGCATAGCCTATGTTGCTTTAATCCTTCAAAAATGATGCCATTTTTGTGTTGAACTCTCCAAACATTATGCATTTTGGTGGATCAAACACAGGTGCAATGAAGGGTCGGCCACATTGCACCTAGCATAGCCGATGTTGTTTGAATCCTTAGAAAATGATATCACTTCTGTGTCAAATTCCCCAAATGTTATGCATTTTTGGAGGATCTGATACATGTGCAACAACATTTTTGGAAGAAGAGTCGGCATCATTGCATCTAGCATAGCCTATGTTGCTTTAATCCTTCAAAAATGATGTCGCTTCCTTGCCAAATTCTCCAAATATATATATATATATATTTTATTTTTATTTTTTATTTTTTTTGGAGGATATGATACATGTACAACGACATTTGCATCTAGCATAGCCTATGTTGCTTTAATCCTTCAAAAATGATGTCGCTTCCTTGCCAAATTCTCCAAATATATATATATATATATTTTATTTTTATTTTTTATTTTTTTTGGAGGATATGATACATGTACAACGACATTTGCATCTAGCATAGCCTATGTTGCTTGAATCCTTCAAAAATTATGTCGTTTCCGTATATTATGCATTTTGGAGGATCAAACACAGGTACAACAACATTTTTGGAGGATTGAAGCAACATTAATCATAGAACGAATAAATTGCTTACTCTTGCTTTCTGAACCATGCGGCCTTTGGCCTCATCTTTCATTCCAACTGTGGATGTTAAAACCTCTGCATCAAATGACAACTATATCAATGAATGCAAAAAAAATTAAAAAATTACTCTTCATTTTTGTTTTCATTTTCAAAAGCTAAATAAACAGGTAGTCGAACGTGATTTAGTTTCCCTTACCATCACTATTATTATTAATAACTCTCATGCTATCTCATTCTTCGATTTTACTATTATCTGTTGTTTTCTTTATTTCCATCATCATACTATTTGTAGTTGCTACTGTTATCTTCTATATGCTTTATTTGTGCCGAAGGTCTATCAGAAACAAAGACATGAATAAGATACCTATAGGGATCACAGTTACTTACTCTTCTCCGTCGCAAATCCACCATTCTTCAAAATCTCAGCAACTGTGACAACCGTAGTGATCGCTGTTGATAATTTAATATAAATACATTAGCAAGAAGATTTTTTTTTTTTTTTTTTTTTTGCATTTGATTATGAATTATAATTGATAAAAATATCAATTTCGAAACAAAGATTGAAGATTGTTACCCATGCCCAAAGCAGATAGTTCAACCTCAGTATGCTGCTGCATGTACCTCTGCTTGGTAAAATAAAATTTGTTAATATAATCTCTTAGCATCATATCACTATACAACAACAACAATGTACGCAGAGCTTACTCCTACATTGACAGGTATAGTGATTGTTTCCGATAGACTTTCTGCTTAAGGAAAATAAAAAGTATCTACCACCAAATTTATAACCTATTTATGCTACCGGATTCACATTTTATTTAGTAGATTTCTCAGTAACACAAAACTATTGAATTCTGTCAAACCTATACCATGTAGGATGCAATGTTATTATTAAACAGAGCAAATGTTTGAACCGATCAAAATTCAAATACTGAATCCGTCTCTGAGCGTGCATATATATATACCTTAGCAAGATTGACATAGAAGAAAAGTGGTTTCTTAGTGTTAGACACTTGAATTCTGTTACTTTTCTTCTGTGCCTCATTGTTATTGTTGTTTGTTGGTGCTGGTGCTGCTGGTGTAGATGCAGGTGTTGCTGTGGCTGGTGTTGGTGCAGCTACAGGTGTCATTGTTTCAATTGGCATATTATTTGTCTTAATAAGTGACACACCCTTTCTTCAATTTTTTCAATTAAATTTGGGTTTAACTTTTTTATATTTATATTAAAATCTATATTGGAAAAGTATTAGAAGAGAGAGTTAAATATAAATAAAGTATAGAGAGGCCCGATTCAATAGGATTGAATTGATAATTTGACCAAGTAAACATCCATTGGTAGTTAATTAAGACAAAAAACAAGTAATAATGATTGGTGATTAAAGCAATTAAACAATGGTTATGCATCTTACTAGACCTACTACTACTCCATTCATTTCTTTGGTTTTCCCTCTAATTAGGAACACTAATTATTTATCATCCTAAATTATCTTAGATTCTCCTCTTTTTATTTTAGTTAGAAAGAAAAAAAAAAGATGAATTTTGGAGAATATATATAAACAGAGGAAGACTATCCATTGATTAATTACAAATAACTAACAACACGTGTGAATATAAAAGGAGTTCCTTTCGGATATTTTTTACATGGACAATCTTAGTCATTTAATATTTTATTTTGCATGAATACTTAGTGTTGAGTAAACTTTAAGCAAGAACTCAATTACTCATCTTGGATCAAATTGGATTAATAGCTTTGTATTGATCTACGTACGAGCCTTCTATTTGATTTATATCAGTGTTTTAAAAGGGGGCGTAAGGCGAGATGTTTTATGTAGTATGGGGGGAGATGTAAGCAACGAGACACGGGGTGTAAGTCTTATGGATCTATGGGACGTAGTGTATATTCAATTTTATAATTTTATTACTAAGAAAATAAGCAAAAGCCAAACTTTCAATTATTTTACAAATAAATTTTAATAAATAACCTATATATATAGGAAAAAAATCGTATGATTTTTATTTGAGAAAGGTATTAATAATCAAAAATGAAGAAAAAAGTATTACAATTACTATTTGAGAAATATCATAACACCAATTTAAAAAAATGATTTAAAGCAAAAAAATGTTTTTTTTAGGACGTACGTTTTTACGCTTGGAGCTTACACCCCGAATTCTATGACTCGCCCTATGGATCAATTTGCGTCCCGAAGCGTTTTTGGTACGCCTGGGGCTCACCCCAAAAAACGTTTTTGAAAACAATGATTTATACTACACTTCTTCAAGTTTTTATCATTCTGATCTAAAAGTGTATGCTTTTTTTTAGATCTTTCTGCTTCTGCGTTCAAACACGTATGTTTGAATATTTAGTCAATTTTTAAAATGCATTCAATCATGTATATGATTGAGCGCAAACATATATAAAAAATCAAGATGATGCTAAATGAGTTTGTTTATATTTGCTATTGATGTGACAAATTAATGTTTGAGGTTTGTTCCTTGTGATACATGAAACTTATATTTCAAACTTGAACTTGTTTGGAGCATATTTGGGTATTGTAATTTGAAGGATACAATTATTATATTTTGGAAAATTAAAAATTTCATACGCACATGATTGAAATTTTGGTCAATTTTAACATCACAATCATACATGAGATCTTTTTTAGACACACACAACTGAAATTCTAATCAATATTAACATGTGCTTTAGCAATGTATAACTGAAAGTCTGAAACCAATGCATACATGAAAAGAATAAAAGGGGTGTTAGGTTTGTTAAATTTATTGTTGTTTTGACAAATTAATAATTGAAGTTTGTTCTTTATAATATATGAAACTTTTTTTTTTCAATTTGAGCTTATTTTGAGTAGCTTTGATTATTGAATTGTTGAAATTTGAAGAACAAAATAATTTAAGACACATAATTGAGATATAAGACAATTTTAAATGTACATCAGATGTGAATTTTTAATTTTAGTCGTGTACAAATTAATTCTAAAGTGGCTAAACTTGTAAAAACAAATATAAAGTGGATATAAATTAAACAACCCCCAAAATGGATATTTGTGCACTTCGCCCTTCTAAGAGTTGTATAGTCACTTAAGGTGCCATATTAGCAAAAGGTGTTTAATAACACGTTTTAAATTTTAATAGAGATGAGGTGTTTAATAGGTCACACCTTGAGATGAAATGTTGAAATTAAAAATCGTGTCAATTTTAGGTGTCTTTATATATATTAAGTTTTAAAATAACTATTTCATATGTGTCATTTTACTTGATCCTTATACTAAAAATATATTTTTCTTTTTACTTATTAACAAATCAAGAGATCTATTATTTTTCTTTCCATATTACTCTTATCATTAGATACTTATATAAAATAGTAGTCAGACTTAATTTTTCAAAAATATAATTAATAAGAATAATTTACTAAAAACAAAACTCCAAACAAATACTCTTCTAGTAGGAGTGTTAAGTCAACACAGGCCAAATAAAACAGGAAAAAGTAATCAATATTAATCCAACCCTACAATTCCTCTTGATAGTGAAATTTGAAATTTTGATCAATTACAACATAAAATTAATGGTGATCAATATAATAATCAACATGATCATCATAAATTCTTGATGGCTAGGTTTGTTTTTTATTTTCATGAATAGGTTTCTTAATCCTATTTCTTCTCTTCTGCATAAATATATGTAGAGATTTTTTGAGTGATAATCCATAAGGCCTATGCAAATGAAATTGAAAAGATGATGTAATTTCCAAGTTTGATGATTTCATTCCTCCTCTTGCAAGCCATAAGATGGTTAAGGCCTACACTTCACAAAATCCAACAACTTTATTAGAACAAAAGAAAATATTTTCCAATATAAAACAGTACTGATCAAAATTAAGGTAAGAAATATTTACTTTGGAAATTAAGCTAATAAAAAATCAATAAAGTTTAATGATAAATACCCTTTTGAATAATTTAGACTAATTTCTTTCGTTTATTTTTGTTAACATTATTTGATACCAAAAGAAGAAGAAGAAAAAAACACTTCATGTTATTTATTTTTCAATTGATCAAATATTGTGAAGCTTTAGTTTAAAAACGTAAAATTTCTTTAAAATGAAAATAGCAATGATAAAATTAACATTAATATAAAAAAAATTTACCTGGAGTTCAGATGCATCATATACCCCAACTTGTGCATGGTGAAAATTTGTGATCTGCTTTATTGTTGACGAACACGTCCTGCATAACAATTAGCACATATTGCGATATTATTAAACCAAAATCATATTATTATCAATCGGCCAGTACTAAGAATTTAATTCGATAAAAAAATTGTTGATGGAATTCACATATTTTACTAGCTAGTAGAATAAAATAGTCGATCTGTACACAAGCTAGTCACACTATATATCATAACAACAAAAATAAAACAAAATACGATGATATGAGAGATAATATATAACAAATTTTAAGATGGAATTAAGAGACTTACATAGAATGATCATGAGGCAATGGAGGGGAAAGTTGATGGACAAGTTTGGATTTCTTCTTCATGTCTATATATAATAGTAATAATATTTCTTCACTTTTTAATAACTCTTAATTTTTAAATTGCTTATAAATTGAATTGTATAAGTTACACCAAGAAAATTAAACAAAGTAGAAAAAGCCTAGTATAGAATAATAGTACTATTTAAAAGGATATTATTAGGTTTAGAATCCATGAAAATTTTGCTACTATTAAAGTCAAGAAACATCACTAAATAAAATAAAAATATATGTCATGTGAAAACATGTTGTCCACATGCCTAATTACTCTGCCTACCTAACTTACTCACACACGTTTAAATAAACTAAATTATGTCATTATGACTTCAGTTTCAAATCTCAATTTTAAAAAAATATAAAACTTGACTCATGATAAATTTATATTTTGTAAAAAAAAAAATGTTCATTTTTTAAATTTGCAAAAAAATAATAAAAAATTCATGCTCGATGTGAAGAGATCATATTGTTTGTACTATATGTGGAAGAATTATATTAAAAAATAAGTATTTGTTGCTATTATTGACTGGTGAATATTTGTAGAATTTTGTGTGTTTGAAAGTTATTGTAATACTATCATGTAATCACAAATATTTATTTATAAAATAAACATGGAGTACTATGTGATTTATTTATGTTGCGCCTCACGATATTTCGATAGCTTAGTTTGTTTCTTAACTATGATTTACTTATTATGTAAGGTTGTATAAAAGTTGAGGAAGTTTTTGATAGTTTTCACAAATTCTAAACCTTTAATATATGTTTATGAGAAGAAGAAAAAATAACTATAAAAGTCAAATTGCATATCCAAACAAATTTTCAATTACAAATCAACACGTTTTCAAATTGCTTGTTTTCATAATTTTAAATATTCAATAAATTCAATACTAAAACCCTATAAAACCAAAATCATTTAAATTGTGGACCTGTCTCTAATTATAGTTAAAAATAAATCTCTATTATAAATTATTATTAATTACTAAACCTTATATCCTTAAAAAGGATAACAATCCCCTCAACATCCTACAAAATGATCACCTTTTGAGTTTTGTCATTATTAGTTTAACATTTAACTACTTATACAAATTCCACAATCCCTAAACTTAATAAAGATCAATAATTATAAAAACAAACTTTATTTTCTCATCAACTTGAGACAAATGATTCCCTTAACAGAAATGGAAAGTTGTTCCTTTTTAGTTGATTTTATTCTTTTGATGTACCATTCTTCACATCTTATAGATTAATTAACTAATTAGGACACATAATTACTTGCCAAAAACAGACATAAAGTCACATTTAACAAAAAGTTATCAATTGTATTAATGATAAAGAATAAAATGATTTACTTGAAAAGGATTAGACATTATTTCATCACATCTATATATCATTTCACCCTTCCCCAAACATTCAGTACCTCTATGGTACCAGGACTGAACTATGAGGAGTATGAAAGAGCGATTCGACATGATCTTCGAAAGAAGCAAAAGAGCCAAGGAGCATCCTTGAATCCTGATCAAGCCCGAAGATTGCGCATCCGATCATCGTGTGGCGCATGTACACTCTTTCTTTTTATCCCACCTGATGATTCAACAGATTATTTTCAAACAATCACAGTAGTGGAGTCACGATTTTTATTAAGGAGCTCAAAATATATACATAGGAAGAGATATATAAAATAATTTAATGAATAAAACCTCAACCCTACCTAGCTCTGCCTCCGCTAACACCCTAGTAATGTTTCTTGGACAAACTTGAGCTGTCATGAGGTTCAACTAGTCTTAAAATACTTTCCTATTATGGAAAGCTAGTTGTTTGGTACACCAAGAATTTATGGGTTTGTTAGGGCTTTCATTTTACAAAGAGAAAAACGAATTGAATTCTTTCACTTTCACTTTGATGTGGACAAATTAAATGTACCTATTTAAATGTTTATCTTAGGCACTTTACTTGGTAACTAACTATACCTTTAGGTATCTTGCTGTCATGAAATAATAGGAGGCGTATCAATTATATTATCCTTAAAGATATTTCATCGATTTAGAAGAAAAATTGACTTCATATAAATAAACATCTCATCATCAATATCAGATTGTTATTGGCAATTAAAAATAAGCAAATGCTAATGAATAATGAAGGGTATATATATATGTTACATACGCTTTGAACTAATTGGAATATTTGATATGATTTGCACTAATTGATTCAAATTTAAGCTAATTCAAAATGATGGTTGGCCATTAACGCTATTCACAAGATATATCACTATCATATATTACAAATTATGATGACAATAAATCAGATGACACAAAAAGCTATATAGAAACGTAATATTGTTATATGATTTGACAATTGACCTGAAAAACTAAACTAAAATAAAGCATAATTTTTTTTTAAACGACTACAATATTGATGCTATTGATGCTATTATGCTCGCGAAACATGTGTCGACACATATCACATGGTACACTTTTTAATTTAAGCAGAGGATGTAAGAAAGAGCATGTGTGTCTAAGCTTACCAATTACAAAAGTTATGTGAAACTCTTTTGTGATGTCAACTACTCTTACAAACCAATCTTTAAGTTGGCCATACAAAAACCACCAAATTGTTGATGGGCTATGTTTGAGTTTCCTTTTTTAGAAATAACATTGATATATTTGAAAAACATGCATTTTAAACATGTTGTATATGCTAAGAAATTTCTGGTTGCCAACTTTAATTCAATTCAACTTATTTTCAGTTTGTTTTTTAGTAACATTTAAAGTTTTCGACCTTGATGATCAAGTTTAATTAGGGTTATATATAATTTGTTGGAAATCTATATGTACAATGGAAGCATATCATAATCTTATTACTTACATGAATAATAGATAACCAATAGCACTTATGCTAAAACACATAATTATGCTAGAACACATATCAATAATTGCCTTGTCGTTGTCGCTTGCTCGATTTGAATAGAAATTTTTTATTTTCTTTGAGCCTTTTTTTTTTCCTTTGTGTAAAGGCATTAGTCTTGTATTCTGAAAAGGCACATGTCTTTCCCGAGAACATACCCATTGGCAATAAATTTTGGGGGCTTTCTTAGCGAAATTATTCCATACGCGATCAGATAATGTGAGAAGATTAAATTCCTTAAGAACATATAGTGAATTAATTATGAGGTCTCGGAATCTCATTTTCTATTTGTATATTACAATTTAGAGAAATTATTTATACATAAATATTATTTGCGTTTTTCTAGTTTACAGATTATGTTTTAGTTTCTGATTCCGAACACAACATATAACAACTTTTAATGAGATGTAATGTTTATAGCTATTTCAAGAATTCATATGTCCACCTTATTATTAATTATTTTTGGTTTGTGAACATGCATTTGCTGAAGATCATTAAGAGAAGAAGAAAGAAATTAGTTCATGAAAATTAACTTAATTAATTTGATATTTCTAAAGCATATAATAGGGACGTTAGGATTGGACCAAATTTGTTAAGTCTGAGAGGAATTAAAGGTTAAATGTGCAATATTCAATAATTGAACTGCAGTTCACAATCAAAACTGCATTTTCCAAGAAAAATAAATTAAAACGAAAGGAAAAATTTGGCGGGAAAATGTGGAAGTAACTTTGAAGTTGAGACCCAAAGGTTCAAAATTTTCGAAGAGAGAAAAAATGGCGGAATTTGAAGATGAAGAATTCCTATCTCAGGTCGCCGCAGCAGAAGCAGAAGCCCTTTCCACCGCCGCCAAGCGTCGCCGGATCTCTGCCGCCGTCGCCACCACCACTGCCGTCACCACGCCAAAGTTCAACGTCAACACCAATAACAATACCAGTGTGGAAGAAGGAGTTTATCTAGCGGTTCTGAAAGGGAACAAAAGTGTTTTATTCCAACAAAAAGGATCGACAAATGCCTTTTCTACCCCAATTAACAACAACTACAAAGCAAATAGCAGCAATAACTGGTCTAGTTCCGATGCTGGTGATTCGTGCTTCAAGTGCGGGAAATCAGGGCATTGGTCTCGCGATTGCGATACTAATCCACCAACTGATGATTCCGTGAGCTTTCCTGAGAAGAAATGTGCGTGTGGAATGGGTAGTTGCCTTGTACTCACTGCCAATACTGAGAAGAATCGCGGCCGTAAGTTCTACAAATGCCCTATCAGACAGGTACTACCACTTCAACACAATGTACAATTCTTTCATTCTTCTAGATTTGTGTTGGAACTTAATTTTCTAGGTGAAAAAGGGGAAACAGTGCCTATCAATCAACATATTTGCCTGTTCTAACCTATAAGCTTTCTGGTATGCTATTGTGAGTGCTAAAATTTGAGTATCCGGACTTCCAGTACTGTGTAAATTTCTATTCTAATCCAGATCTGAATACTTTCTCAGGAGAATGGTGGTTGTGGATTCTTTGAGTGGTGTGACCAACCTCCGGTTACTGATTCTCTGACCACCCGAGGCCCGAGTTACTCTGTTAGTTCCACCTTCCAGGAACTTTCATGTCCATGTGGTTCTGGCACATGCCTAGTTCTGACAGCCAAAACAGGAAAAAATATTGGTCAGCAATTCTACCGATGTCCAACGAATCAGGTTTAGTATCACCTCCCCTTTCTGTTTTACTAGGTCTCTACATATCTTAATGAGATTAAATGTCTAACTACTTGGAATGCTTCACAATGCATAGATATGTACCTGTGTAACATAGGCTCTCTTGATTGCACAAAAACCTTTTATCATCCAGACCAGTTGATATGTTACCCTTAATTTCCTGCTTTATATAATGTCTTGATAATGACACAAAATCAGAATTCAGAAAGTAGTTCTAGGAGCATATTGCTGTCTACAATCTATTGGGGTGAATAAACTGATCAAGTCTTTTGAGGGATGCTTGGTTTGAAGGAAAAGAAAAGAGTAAAGTTGTTTAGAGCAAAATGAAGAAGGCTCAAGTGGTCACTTGCAAGTATTTGGCAGGTTAGGTGAACAGTTTTGTACTCAGGTGGTATTGGATAAATATTGTAAACAAATTTGTACCACCCAGATGGTAATTGGACATGTATTGTAAACTAATTGTATTCAGGTGGTAATGAATAGAGTAATGTCAAATAACACAATTCTTCAATAGTAGATTAGGGTGCGAGGATTGACAACTAGGTATCTTAGGTGAAAACTTGACTTTGATTTTTCCATTTAAATATCATGCTTTTGTCTGCAGTAGGGGTCGAAGCCCCATGATGTGCGCCTAAACCACATATCACATGTTGCGTTCATTCCACCAGCCCTCGTAAATTTCTTGGTTATTATACAGAATCACACCTGAACTTGTGACTGCACATAGTCTTTTGCTTTTGCCTTTGAATAGAGGTTATATCAAGAAACTGAGGATTGATGGTACTGTAGAATAGCTTGATCTCATCCAGTGTTTTCAAGCTTAAGAAAGCTCTAAGGTTTGTTGGAACTTTAAGTGCAAATTGCAAATAAGGCGCAAAGGGAGAAAAAAAAATTACAAATATATATTTTTAGTCCAAGACTAATAATTCTAAGCATGAGTGACAAATAAATTGAATTTTTTTAAACGATAAGGTGAAATATTAATGTTTAGTGTTGTATCTTCAGAAGAGGCTCAACTGGCAAGGAAAAGCATGCTTTAGAACCTTGATGGCAACACTGAAACGTACATTAAGCGAAGCGAAGTGCTCAACACATTTTGAGCATCGCTTCAGGGCTTAAGTGCGCCTTGACAACACTGATCTCATCTGGAGTTCAATGAGAACTCAATATGAGTATGACTGGTTGAACTGTTGAAGTTCTAATTTCTTAATCATAGTTAAGAAAATGGACCTACAAGGAGATAGTAACTCATTTCTTAACCAACGTGAGTCACTTTTAACTCCCCATGCACTCCAGAAATTGTTCAACTTGAGTACGGATAACATAAGAGGAGGCCAAATATTAGTAAACACAACAATAGGGATGGGTTTGACTCTTATACTATGTCAAGAAAATAGACCTTAGCTTAACTTAATCTAGAAAGCTAGTTCATGACGTGAAGGATTGATCAAAGCTATCTAAAGGAGAGCACAATCCACTTTCTCAACTAATGTGGGACACCCTAACAAACATGTTGTATATACATCATGGATCATGACCAATTTCGGCAGTGATTTCAATAACTGAAAAATGAGGTATCCAAAGATGTCGTGCATTGTGCTCTAGCACATGTGCATACAGTAATCTAAGTGTTCAATTTCAGTTCCCAGTCTTTACCAACAAGTTTATTTGCTGCAGATTCATAAAAAAAAAATGTCTGCGGCAAGGTTACTGTTTCTATTTTTCTTTTGTTTTTTGTTTTTTGTTTTTTTCTTTCTTTTCTTTTCTGTGGTATCAAAGGAAGGTAGCCCAAATACAATGTATTCATTATGTTTATGTCTGCTAATATGTTGTTACTGTTCTTAGGGAGGTTGTGGGTTCTTCAAATGGTGTAATGACAACACGACCAATGCTAGCTTCTCAAATTCATCTAACAGCTCTCAGACTTACCCAAAAATGGATGGGTCAACCAACAAAATCAACAATTCAGTCACTTCCTGTTTCAAATGTGGCAATGCTGGGCACTGGGCTAAAGATTGTCCACAGTCATCTTCTCAACGCTCTGCTGCTGATGGAGGAATACAGTATTCCAATTCAAGCACTTGTTTTAATTGTGGTAAGCCTGGTCACTGGGCCAAGGACTGTTCATCCAACTGATTCCAGAGCAGTGATTATGCGAAGTGGATTCCCTCGTGGTTTTGATGACATCTGAAGCACTGCTATAATTTTGATGTAAATATTGCCACCCCAACCTTCTAGGAAAAGATGTTTTGTTTTCTTTGAATACTGAATCAGCCTCAAGTTGCAGTTAATGAGTATATGTGATCTTGGAATTTGCTGATGTTTTGAATGTTGACCTCCATGTTAGATATGACACTATGTAACAGCTTTCTTCATTGTTTTGCTGTTTAGTGATGATTTAATAATCCCATTTCCTCTAAATCTTCCAATTTTCCACTTTTGGGACATGAATATGTTTAACTTTGCAATTAATTTTTTTTTCCTTTAAAATTAGTGGTAACAAAGGAAAGAAAGCTTCCTGAGGACTCACTTTTTGTTTTTCGTATGTCAAGCATGCTAACTTTGATATATTTTGTAAAGCTCCCTAAGGATTATATACAGTTGGTTGCTCAATCAAGTTTTGCTCAGGCTGATTCTGGCATCCAGCGATCTCTCTAAGAATGTCAAAAAGAGCCCAAATATAGGTAACTCGCTTAGAATTTTATAGGTTGGACTCAAAATAATTTGAATTGTGTCAATCTCAGCCCATTCCTGCCTTAACTCTTAAAAAATTCAATTGAACCCAATTTAATCTTTAATTTTAACTCGTTTTAAGACTCTTTATTTGCATACTAATTTTTATATAAAAAAAATGAACCCAATTTAATCTCTAATTTTAACTTGTTTTAAGACTCTTTATTTGCATTGGTGTAAGTTTGTCACGACCCGAGTCTACACCCTGGACGTGGCCGGCACTCAAGAACCATTGATGGTCCCCAAGCGAACCCTCATCCTGGCTGACTACAAGCGGAAGACTAACTTAAGCATGCAAAAGCTTAAAAACTGAATAAATATTCATGAAACTTAAATAGAAAGCTTTAACTCAAAAGAAAACTCCGAATAAAAATAAATTATTCAACTCGCCATAAAATAGGCACTTAAGTCTTTAAAACATTTAATAAAATGAATGAATAATACAGACTTTTCAACTATACTGACTATCTATGAAGCCTCTAACTGATAAAGATGGAAGTCGGGACAAGACCCACGACATCCTAACAACTGATATAACTGAAAGGTAAATGAAATCCTCCGGAAACAAGGAGGCTCACCATAGCTAACTCGAACTCTCGGATGTATCAACGAAGCTCTTGTTGATGATCCTGAATACCTGTGTCTGCATCATGAGAAGATGCAGGCCAAATGGCTCAGTACGTGGAATGTACGAGCATGTAAGGGGAATTCT